CGAAACCCCCCCCCCCCCCCACACACATTTATCCTCTTTGTCATTTTTAAATGTTAGTCCTTTTTTTTAAAATTTCTCTAAATTATGATATTTTTTAAGTTTTTATTAATCTATATAAAATATTCGAGACAGAAAAGAAAAGTAAGAAGTACTAATTAACTATATAAGCTAAGGGCGTTCTAAATAAATAACTGAGAATTAAATAAATGAATATTGATAATAATCAAAATTCGAATATCTATTTTTACAAGTCTGTAATAATACTTTAATTATTTCAACACATGTAATATAAAAACAATTAATTTAATGAAAATCAAAGCTCATTTATCAGTATAAATAATAGTAAAGTGAAACTTAAATAAGGCCAAACACAGACACAATTTCTCTAATTTGTCCCCATTTTTTATTTTGGTGATCTATTTTAGTCTTGTTCAATTTTAACCCTTAACTTTATTTTTAATGTAACATTTAAACACAAAATACTAATTTTATGATTTTTTTTATTTTTAATTATGTTCTTTAACTACTATTTTGCATTTTAAAAATTGACGGACGGACATTGTTTTTTTTTAAATAACAATTTCTTTTTTAGAATTTCTCTATACTTTTACGTGAAAAATCAATGACAACCCAACAAAATTTCTTCTTTAAAAAATCAATGGCAACCCAACAAAGTTTCTTCTTTAAAAAATCAATGACAACCCAACAAAGTCTATCGAGTTTTAGCGTCTTTATAGTAGTGTTATGATCAATGAACAAGAGTCTTTTTTTACTCGTATTGAAGACGGGTACTTTTTACCCTTATTGAGTTGAATTAAAAATTAGAAAGCTAGTATTTGAGTTAAATCTAGATAGCTTCGATATGAAAAAAAAAATACGTGATATAATTTAATTTAATTGATTATTTAAAAAATAAAATGGACACACATTCGTCAGTTATTTTTTACGCAAAATATAGAGTAACTCTCAAAATAATTATTTTTAAAAAATAATAATTTTCATCCGTTAATTTTTAAATTTCTTTTAACGAAACTAACAAACAAATGTCGATTTCTAAAATGAAAAACTACAAATGAAGAACATAAATAAAAAAAAAACATAAAAATAATATTTTGTGTTTGAATGATACATAAAAAATAGAGTTGTAAGGTTAAAATGAAATAAGGCTAAAATAAAGTGCCAAAATAAAAATAAGGGCAAGTAAAGGGATTGTGTGTAAGTTTGCCCCTTAAATAAACACACATTCATGTACAATACATATATACATAATTAATACATGTAATTTCAAAATAGCATTTATAAAAAGGTCAAATATATAGACAACTCCTCTAACTTGAGGGACGAACATCGATCTTTAAAACTGAAAGTTTAAATAACATTTTCTCAAGATCGATCTATAGACCTTTAAATAACACCACATATTTTATATTTTCATATCATTCGGGTTATCTGGATTTAACTCAAATACTCATTTTTAAATTTTATATTCAATTCAATATGGATAAAAAGACGACTCTTGTTCATTGCTAATAATACTATTAAAAAATATTAAAACTAGTCAGACTTTATCGGGTTGTCAATGAGTTTTTTGAGAAAGAAAATCGATGCACTTTCGTCGGTTATTTTTCAAGAAAAAATACAGAGAAACTCTCAAAAAGAAATTATTATATTTTAAAAATAAATAAATATTCGTCCTTCACTTTTTCTTTTCTTTTTTTATCAAAATTAACGAAGAGACGTCGATATTTAAAATGCAAAACTGCAGTTGAATAACACAAATATAAATCATAAAAAAATAGTATTTTGTGTTTAAATAGTACAGATAAATGGGATTGAAGACTTAAAATAGAACAAAGTTAAGATAGAGTACCAAAATAAAATTTCGAAGCAAGTTAGAGGGGATGTGTATGTATTTAGCCTATAAAAAATAGTAGCATTAGATTTTGTGACAAATTCATCAAAGAATTATTCTACTTATAATTAACTTAAATAAAAACCTATAAACATCTTAGTTGACAAAATAAACAATAAATATACTATAAAAAAATATACTATATAGATAGATGATCGAAAATATCAAAGTAAAATAGATATTGCATAGAGGTTTTAATAGCATAGCCACCCCTATATGCAATAGAACAGTTAGATAGAGTCATGGAATCATTAAGAAACAATGTCAAATGAAGGTAGAACATGTCCTGTGGTTGGTATAATCATGTTGTAATTAAATAAAATGACAAACTAATCAATTGATACTCTCTTTCTGTTCAGCAATAATGGTCTATTATTGATTTAATACAGTGATTAAGAAAATAATAGTGGTAATTTTATCAAATCACCCTTATTAAATATAACTCATCTAAGCATTGAAAAATAAATAAGATTTAATAGTAAGGGTAAAATAGACAAGAACTGATAAATTATTCATTGATTTTATAAATTGTACAAGTATTGTTGGACATTCCAAAATAGTCTAATGGACAAGTAAAGATGGACGGATGAAGTAATTAAAATTACCTGAGTGTTTGATGAAGATGGGAATAAGAGGGGATGATGATGATGATGATCAATAACATTATTAGTCTTGATTGGACAATTAGCATTGATGACCACATGAGGAGGAGTGGACATTGAGTTTTCTTGATTAATGATAATGGGGAACTGTTGAAAGCTTCCAGTAGTAGGAGATTGTGGTGCCTAATTAACCAAAGATAACAAGAAGGATTAATTAATTAGTTGCAAATAATAAAAGTTCAAGCTTTATAAAGGAATTGGAGTTGCAAGTAAGTTGTTGTAACTCCACCACTATCCATGGACCTAATTAACTAATTAGATTATTATTTTTTTAAACAAAAATATTAACATGAGTTGTTATTCTATTGTATAACTATAATCCTTAAAAATAGCTTAAAATAGAGCCCTACTTAACTATCATCTTAATTTATTTTTTTCACTCCAAATCAGCTCACCTTCTCTCTTAATCCTTCCACTTCTATCATCACCCAAAATGTTATTGTTTCAATTTTCTCATACTTCTTATTTTAAAATTGGAAAAGGATAATATAAAAGTTGCAATGTTTGTGATTTCAAATATTAAGCATTATGAAAATGGAAGTCTTAAAATAATCCCTCTCCTGCCTTACCCACCCAAAAATGTTATATTTGAATTACGACATAACACTTCATGAAATCTTATAAATTCAATAAGTTATATCGCATTATGAATCGATACAAAATGATATCTTTAATATAATATAGGCAATATTATAAAGATTATGCGGATCTGAATTCTATGTCTATTAAAGCATGCTAGCATAGAAATAATTATCAATTGGAATGATGCATCTTGGTAAACATAAAACTTATTTGACTTGGAGTCTAGACACTAAAGGATGTCATGCATTTAGTATTGAATGTTGTTACAGGACAAAATCGATATGAAAATTTACGAAGGATTCAAAATGCGTGAAACATATACAAATTCTTGAAAAACTTGTTATAATTCTCGTATGGATTAAATCAAGCAAGAATCTTCTTAATTGTTATGCAAGTTGATGACTTGAATTGAACTCTTGAAGAATTTTCAAAAGGCAATAGATTAATTATTTGCTTAAAGAAGTTGAAGTGAGGAGTTTACAGAATTATTTGGTCCTGAAGGGAGGATTTATTAAAGGAGATAGAACGAAGTATATTGTGCCAAAAAAATTCTACACACATGAGCTATAAAAAATGATGATATCAATGTGCAATAAATTCGTTTGAGTGATTATATGATTGATTTATTCACAAAATCTCTATCAATTACAACTTTTAAGAAGATGGTGTATAAACTTGAAATGCGAAGATTCAAAATCTAGCTGAAATTGAAGAATCATAATACCAGTGTGTTCATACTTGTGTGGTGGGAGGTTACATTTACCCCTCTTTGGTGAAGCTTTTTGATAGCTAGGGCATCTAGGCTCTAGCTAGGTTAAAGCACATTTATTTTGTCGTCTTTTTGGCATTCAAACTTATATTTGTGCTTGTAGTTCTTCTTATTTCTCATGGGCTTGTAATTATTGGGACCCCCTTTATGATTCTCTAGGCAATGTGATTGATTCTTCCCTTTTTTCATACATCAGGACAGGATTAGAGTTAATATGCGGTGTACTCTTTTTCCTCACTAAAATTTTATTCCAATGAATTTTTCTACTAAAATTTTTAATGGGGCATTTAAAAATATATGTATTATTTTATATGTATATAGTTTTTTCTTCATTAGAATTTTTTTTATTGATTTTTTTCTACTAAGGTTTTAATGAGGTACATAATTTATCAAAAAAACATTCAAGAGGGAGTGTTATAAACATATTTGTACTATAGTAAATGTCTATTATGCAGATGTCTTTGGAGAAAAGTTAAAAATCCTAGTAAGGAAATAAATAGAGGGGTTACCCTCATAGTAAAGAATCATTGAATCCCTCAATCTATGAATATCCTTTAAGAGGAATAAGAAGTTATCTTGCTTCTCCCTACTATTTTCTTCTTCTTGTTTTAATAGTTTCATAGCACGCATACCTTTTATTTTAAATTTTGGAAAAGAATAAAATAAAAATTGCAATGTTTGTGATTTCAAATATTGTGCATAATGAAAATGAAAGTCTTAAAATAAATTGTTTCTTATAAGACACTTTTCCTCCTCTGCCTTATCCACCCAAAAACTAAAATGAAAATAGAAGTTTTAAAAATCTGCAATTGTTTCAAGTTTGCAAAGAAATAAGACAATAAGCTTTTCCAAATAAAGAGGGATAAAATTTAAAACTCTCTTGGAAGAAAATTGTGAAACTCTTTTTGGTCGGTTTAAACTTGATCATAATGATATCACTTTTCGCCGTTGTTTCCTTGATATCTATCGGAGATGGAGTGAGACGAGCAGCGAGGTGACGCTGATCTCTAGCCAAAGAGGAGAGACAGACAAATAGGAGATGAGGAGAGATGATTTAACTAAATATATGCATGTATTTAGTTAAGAGTTCATGTATCAGAAAGTATACATGTATTTGAGTTAAAGATTATATTTATTTATAAAAAAAGATTTTTGATACTAAAAAAATGAGGAAAAAATTGAAAATTCTTGAATTTTATTGGAGAAAATATTCAGGTAAGAATTAGTGAAAAGATTGAATTTTTGAATGTGTTTTGATTAGAAGACCAAAAGAATTTGGATGATTGTGTTTTCCTTAGGCTATACTAGTAATATTTGTTCATTTAGTAAAATTAGAGTTTTTGAAATTGTGTTTAAAAAATAAAATTATATCAGTAAATAACACTTGAGTGACTTTTGAGTTTAAAATTTAAAATTGAATGACTTTTTAAGAGAAAAGTTCAGAGTTGAGTGGCCATCTTAGATAATTAGATGTATCTTCTTAGCATGTATTCGAGATACATGTGACGTTACAAATATATATGTATCAAAAAATAAGACAGATAATTAGCTCATAAACTAACGAAATTTATGTTGTTTGTCCATGTTTTAATGTATTTTAACCCTAATTGTCGTTTTCAAGTTTTGGTATCTTTTCGGACAATCCACATGCATCTAACATAATTTTTAAGATGATCTGTCAAAGTGATTTGAGTTGTGAGTGTATAGGAATTGAACATTTGAACATAAGTCTTATTAAAAATCCAATTTTGGTTAATTAATTAACAAACATCACTTAACATGCAACTCTTTGGACAAATATATAAAACAACAATATCACAAAATCATGACAACATTCACATTCGAGATTTTTTGTTAAAGAAGAAAAATATTGAAAGAGAGTACATTACTCTCTCCGTTCCAATTTATGATGTGACACTATTTTTTGTTAGTCCATCCAAGAAAATGGTACTGAAATGATTTATAACCACACAAATATCTATAAAATACCTGTGAATTCGGAAGCATAACCGGAGAGTCCAGCAATGCTGTCGGAGTTAGTCCCGGCGGTATTGTGAGAAAAGTTTCCCTATCCGGTGGCGGTGACATCGCCGGAGTACTTATGCCGGAAGCATTGAAACCACATTTTTCTTCCCGGCGTTGGGCAATGCTACGCTTGGAAAAACTTCTATTTACAACATTTTCATCAAATAATTGATAATCCCACTCATCAATAGCCTCTCCATTCCCCACCATAATAATAATAAAAAAAATATTTTTTTTAAAAATAAGGACCTTTTTACATGTTTGTGTAAACACTATTGACAAAAAAATTAGCGACAGATAAATTTAATACCTAAAATAATAAAATCTGTCACTAATTCTATATAGCGACAACGATGGATTAGTAATATATTATCAAAAAAATAATATTAGCTATACACAATTTAGTGATGAAATTAGTAGCTAACTTCAATTTTTTTCTCTTTAAAAAACCAAAAGAAAAGGAAATTTAAAAAATCAAGCCAAAAAAACATACATCACTCCAAAATATAAAAAGAAAAAAAAACTCTCAAGGATCCTTCATGTCATGAAGAACCCTAAGAATGATTTTCAAACAAAAAATAAGAAGCTTTCAATATATATACATATATTATGAAAAATCTAAAACCCCACTACATGAAATGTTTTTTTTTGTTTATGAGAGAAAAGTAATATTTTTATTAAAAATAAGTGGCTTCTATTATTCTTGTTTGATAGTGAGTGAGAGAGAGTGATGCGAGAGTTTTTTTTTTGTTTGTGTTGTTATTATTTTGTTTATATATTAAGGAGAAATGTTGAAATGGAGTTTTTTGTCTAGCTAGTAAAATGGCAAGTGTATGGTTTGGGAGTAAAATTAGAAAAAAGATTTTAGAAAATTACGCAACATAATGACACGTTTAAGAATCTAAACTGATTTCTTAAATGTTTAAAATAGTTAATTTGCTACCTCAAACTTGGTCTAGGTAAATCACTTTCTTTAGTCCATTTTATAAATTAAAAAAAAATAAAAAAAATAACAGAGAAGTATTAAACTAATTGTGAATTATTAGTTTCATCCTCAAATTATTGATAGCCTTAAAAACACCTCTTTACTTGAGTAATTGAACTTAAATACACTCCCAATCTTGCAACACTCCTAAATTCTCGTCAAATTGCCTCATGTCCTTATAAGAGTTTGAGACTATTTGTTATGTCATGTGGCAGATCGAAGATGATCGAGGGTGTATTTAGTTACCAGCAATTTTAGCTATAGAAAGCCACGTAACAATGCAATGTAAAAAATAAACATTACAGATTTTTATACTAGATGATATATTATTTCAAGCATATAAAGTGGTTTAATTGTTAGCTGTTATACATATATAATTAAACTATTAAAATCATAGTTTTTTTTATAATAATAATATATTTGGTATATTTAATATATATTTTAATTCTAATAAGCTTTTATCGAACGTTTGAGCTAAACATATACATTGTATATCGTGCTTAAAAGTAATACATGTGGTATTTAAAATAAATAGATTAATTAGTAGCTTGTGCCTGGTATATATATCTTGAATAATTTATATCATATTTAAAAATAAATAAGTAGAAGATACATTGATTATATCAAATTTGTAGATGAAATAAAATAAAAAACAAGTCTAATTTCATATTTTAAATGAAATGAGTGGACTGGAATCGGCAATATTATAATAAATATTTTATGGTAAAAAGATTCATCTATTTCTCTCTACCATACTATGTAGAAATTAGATTGTAGTTTTAAAGTTCCCTCCTGGAATAAAATAAAGATAAATGTTGCATTTAATTTGGATCTATAGATCAATATACAATATTATCTTGATATATGTGAATATCAATTTCATTTTATGGAATATTACATGTAATTTCATTTATTTGCTATATCTATTTGTTGTGATCAATCCAAATTATCCTTGATAATATTGTAGATTGATCTATAAATTTGATTGTAAGCAAAAGGATTCTTTTCATAATCTCAATACATTTTGTGTGCATATACTAGAAAAACATGATAAAAATAAAAGATTATGTCCAATTTGAAACGATCTTAATTGATCCCAAGAAATTTGATATATTTTTTTCCGCCTCAATAAATTCTTTTTCACTATGAATTGTGATGTCTTTCAATGAAATTGCAAGTCTCTTCATTTTATCTTATTTGTGGTGCAAATTTTTCTGAAATGTAGGTAGTTATTAGGTAGTGATTATGATTGATTCAATAGAAAAGGAATAATTTGTACTTTTCGTTGGAGATTTTCAAGAAAAAATCACCGCATATTCCTCCGATTCTTTATAAAAGATATTAAGTCCATTGGAATAAAAGTTAAAAGAGAATATTCAATGAAAACTCAAAAAAAAAAAAAAAAAAAAAAAAAAAAAAATTTTCATAATCTCAATACATTTTGTGTGCATATACTAGAAAAACATGATAAAAATAAAAGATTATGTCCAATTTGAAACGATCTTAATTGATCCCAAGAAATTTGATATATTTTTTTCCGCCTCAATAAATTCTTTTTCACTATGAATTGTGATGTCTTTCAATGAAATTGCAAGTCTCTTCATTTTATCTTATTTGTGGTGCAAATTTTTCTGAAATGTAGGTAGTTATTAGGTAGTGATTATGATTGATTCAATAGAAAAGGAATAATTTGTACTTTTCGTTGGAGATTTTCAAGAAAAAATCACCGCATATTCCTCCGATTCTTTATAAAAGATATTAAGTCCATTGGAATAAAAGTTAAAAGAGAATATTCAATGAAAACTCAAAAAAAAAAAAAAAAAAAAGAAGAACAAACAAGTTCATATAAAAAGAATGTTACAAATATTTTGAAATAAGCTATACTAACTTAATGCCTAAAATATGGATCGATTCATAAACTTTTCTTCCTTTTCTTTTATCACATTTCACCAAAGGTTCGAAAGGAGTAGTGCACCAACCGCTAGTTCTCATTAAAATTCTTTTGAGGCACAGCAGTTGATCGATTGAACATGCAGGGCAAACCATTATTTAGGTTTTGATCACATCTTCTTTAAAAATTCAAAACTCTTCTTTGTGGAGATAAATACAAAAATATCAAGTTGATGGTTATTTAAAAGGATTCCCTGTCCTTCTATCAAATATTTTGTGTTTCCTTCATATTCGAGTTTAAATATCCATAAATGCATTGTTTGCTTAGTTTCTTATAATGTTCTAGTCATATCTCTCATAAAAAGTAATTATCATATTTCACTCGACCTTAGGAAATTCATTAGAGGAATGTTTTTTTGATAAAAATTATTAGTTCTAGCATATTTTTATAACGGTTCTTCAAATTAATAGTGAGAGAAAGGTGAGAATGATGTCAAGTCATCATGTTCAATATGTCTTGAGCGTCACACGTGCTACAACAAATGGGACATAAGGTCACAATTCTGAAAGGACGAACTAACGTTACAAAAGTCAATTATTGTGTAATTATTCGATATTGCGCAATTTTCTTCATTATTTCATTATGTAAATAATCCAAAACTTATTTGCAGTTATGATTATATACAAAAGATTATTTTTCCACTCTCTTTTGTCTAATGTCTCTTAACCACATGAGGTGTAAGCTCCTACGGTTTTATATTTTGATTTGACACTCCTTCATTAGGATGACTAAAGCTAATAAGTGCCTTAAAATAAAAAATATATATCAAACCTTTAAGCTTTTAATTCTTATATTTTTTTATATCTTGAAAACTATTCTTTTAGTTTTTTTAAGATGCAGAATTTTGTTAGTATATTTAAAATTCTTTTTAAGAGACAAATTTATTTATTTATTTATTAATAAAAAAGTTAAATATATATATATATATATATAAATGTTTTTTGATCTTATAGTCTTAAACATGTCATGTGGAAAGTTAAATTTAAAAATTGACAAAAAGGAAAAAAACATTCTTTAATGTTACGAAACAAACTAAGAAAAGCAAGACAAATTACTTGAAAGATACAATATAATTTATTTTTAAAAAAATGCTTAAAATAATTCTATTATTACTGAAAAATGAGGTACCTCAAATTTGAGGGCCTAAGTCAGATGTCTTATTTTTAAAGGGCATCAAATCACCCCTGTGCTTCGCTAGTCTTCTTTCCTTTCTTGACGATGAAGTAAAACAAGCTTATGAGCTTATTACCTTAAGTAGAAACAAGTTGATAGGATCCTTTTTTTTACAATCTTATGTCCACCCCACCCCCATATGGCAACATGGGGGGAAAAAAGCAACGAAATGAAATCATGCAATACAACACTATGAATGATACCAAGTAAAACCCATAAAATTACCCCTTATAGAAGATAAATAAACACTACGTAATTTTATTGCAATGGAATTTACGACTATAATATGACTATCCTGTGGACCACTCTTGTTCCGTCCCCTCTATTAGAAAGAAAGAAATGGTACAATAATTAGAAGGTTTGGGGTATATAAACTATACAAATTGATGATGATTTATCATCAAGAAGAAAGATCGGAACAAATTATTCATTTAAGTTCAAGATTTCTCTTCTTTTTTTTTCTTTTTTGAATTAAAAAAGGGGAGTGTGTACGGAGAAATGTCAAGAAGATATTGAAATAAATTTGAAAGAGATGATAGAGGTAGGAGTTCATTTTGGCCATGATACTAGAAAATGAAATCCCAAAATAGTGCCTTATATATTTACAAAGCTCAACGGAATTCATATTACAAGTCTGTCCTATGAAAAATATCAGTAAAGATCCATATCAAAAGTGAAAAACATTCATAGTTATAGTAATGTTGATTATTTATTCGGCCTTAAAAGATATTCAAAAGCATAAGTCAGAAAACCCAATATGTGCTCCCATTGCACCCATTTTTTTCTCCTATTTCTCCCACCTCTTTACTCTCTTTCTTAAACCTATAATTGTTAAACATTTCTAGCTATATTATTATATCTTATAAAACAAAAATCTATGTGAATATATACATGTTGGAACAGAAGAAAAATAAGGACGGTGGAAAATGTATTTTTAATTTAAATTTCAGAGCAAATGCGAACTTGGTAGGTACATTTCTGAATTTCCAGTATGTATATATATCAAGAATTTTCTAATCATATAGGTGACAGACGTCAAAGTTGTTGTATTTAATTTGATTTTGTAGAAGACTTGGCTGAGCAAAAATTATATAAATTATTAGTATAATCAAGAACTGGAATTTCATCAATCTCAAAACATGAACACCATTCTGTTTTTTTTCGTTTACGTAAATGTTTCAATCGCATCTTCTAGCTCCATAGACAAGCACCATAAAATGCTTAAACTACATAAAAGCATAGCAGTTTGATCTGAATAGTATCTAAAAGTTTCAACTAAACTTACACCGGGCGAATGCATGGTCGCACAGGCTCCCATTGTCCTGCAGGGGGTTCTGCTTGATTCTTGACAGTGTAACAAATGAATTTCAAACGCACCAAGATAACATCTCTGAAAAATATTGATAAACCTGATATCGAACACCTGCATACTAACATATTTGATATAACCCTTAATCTTCCTGTGCCTGTTTTTCTTTTCTTTGGGGTCGAGATCCTCTCAATCCCTTTGGATTTCCATTCCATGTCTCTGTAAACAAGTCTTTGTACTTCTCTAGTAAGCGATCCTTCTGATCGAGATTGCCTTGCACCTCATATGTATCAGCTACTTTCTGTACAATGGACTTATCAGGAGGTTTCCGATCAAATGCTTCTAAGCCTTTGAATAGCTTAATAAGATCCTCAAGCATATGATTACGATAATATACAGAAATCATAAGACTACATAACCGCCAGGGCACAGAATGCAGATCAGAACCGATTTTCTTGTTCCAAAACTCATGTGCCTCTTTTGCTCTGTGATCCATATCCAGTGCTTTAATTAACTGCTCATATGTCCCCATTGTATTTCCCTGACCCTTGCTTAACATCCACTTAATAACCTGAACAATTTTATGCCATTGTTGCTCTTTCTCTAGTTTGAGCAATACCTGCTTTAGGGATCCAATGGGGAAATTCCGCTCCCATGCAACCCAAGCATCAAGTGCACCATATACAGCTTCCTTACTATCCTTTAGATCAAGAAGTGTATTTACAAGAAAGCTAATCTTGTCCTTCCTTGAAACATTTTCTCCTACTTGGGGCTTGGAGTTGCCAATGGGTTTTCCTGCAAGGGAAGAGAGAGATTTATAGCCAAATCGATAACCAAAGGACCCTGTTGTCTCTCCATCACCCCTGTTGGAGGTTGAATGTCGCACATCTGTACTGTAACTGCAAGTGAGGACGGAAGTTCTATTCACTGTAAGCTGACTAATTTGTCTAGCCAGTCTTGTAATTATTGCTAATTTGGACATCATATGCAGCCTGGCACTCATGTAAAAACAACAAGGTATCAATGTATGAATTATCAGAGTAGAAATTTTCAGGACATAATTTGCATTGCCACAACAGCAAAGCACCAGTTATTTTGAACAGTAAGCTCCAACACTTGAAAATTGACAAAATAACAAAAGATAATGTCTAGCTGTTAGTAAATACCTAGATTCAAAGGCAAACATCACAGTACGATCACAAGTTATATGCACAAAAAGTTGAAATTTGACCCATACCGAAGATAATTCGCCAAAGTACAACTGGGGGAGTGGCGCTTTTTGAAGTGCCAGTATATTATGAACCCAACACTTGGAACCTTGCAAGTTATGGCCAACAGAGAAGAGGGGGGACTCAGGTGAATTCCATCAGCATGAAATAAGAACATGTGGTAGAAGGGTAAGTTATGTCAGACTATTGGGAAATGGGCAATTTATACTTTGATATGTCATCTAAAGTGTGTAGGGTAATTGAGAATGAATACTAAATTCTGTACTCTATACCAATAGGAGAACTGATTTTGCAGTTGGCAGCAGAGCGGTAGGATTGAATTAATTGACACTCATCCTTCTTTCCATATGAATAAGTGCTGCTATTTTGTGCTTTATCAACATTGTCTAGAAGCTGTACGTTCTTGATATCTTTTTTGATATCTATATGGGGCAACTTGTCACTGTTTCTGCATATTCAAGAAAATTTCTCCACACAGAATATTAGTGATCTGACTCTGTTGTTAGAGTTATATGACATTCAACTCAAACTAGAGGAGGAAGTTCCTGTGAATTATTTCAATAGGTCTCCTACTCTCTTTTTTATCCTTGAGAGTGCATATGATATGATATATGTAGGGTTGGTTAATTATATCTATCAACATCCCGCACTTAAACCTTTGTTCTTCCTCGAGCAAGGCAAACTCAATAACAGAATAAGTTCAATCCATCTTTAAACTCCGAAGATAACCAAGCCAAAATTTCAATTAGGGTTAGAACATACCAACAACTTTGGTTGATACCAACAATTAGTCTACGTGCATATGAATCATTATAAACTTCCCCATATTTTAAAATCAAAATTTCTTAGATTTTAAAACTACCACAATAATCAAGTTGACATCTCAACCTCAAGAATTAACTCCTTTCACTTGCTCAAGTGCCCTTAATTAAGAAGTTCAATAACTTTTCCTATCCTTCCTAACTCATGTGCCCTCACCAACAATCAAAAGAAAGTCCCAATCACTCACAATATAACCAATGTCTTTTTGAGAATCTCACAATATAACCAATGTATCACAAGGAACATGAAAGATAGAAAGAATTCACTCACACTCATAAAACATTCAAATGTACAAGTAATGTAGGAAACTCAGTCTAAGATCAACTAGGACTAGAATAGGGTTGTAATGTAGGGAGCATGGTAGGAAAAATATGGATAAAAGTGACTCAAAATTCCCCTAAGCACCACCAATACTTGAACTAGTTCTTCTTATGTAGCAAAAATGCCTTCTTTTTTCGAGCTTCGATTATTCTGCTCAAGCCTAAAACTCAATCACCTCCAGACTTAGAATTATGTGCATTCATCCAAGTTTTTAAAGTGCTCAAGGGAATAGGATAAAAATGGCAAGATAATAAAATATCAGAAGGTTAAGGGTTATAACATGGATGCCAACAAAAAGGATAAAAGGCTCAAGCAGGGTGACTAGGGTAAAAATAATGTAAGGTAAGCATATTTAGGCTCTAACAATTCAATAAAGCCCTTTTTTCATTTCTTAAACAATGTAATACCCAAAATTTCACCTTGAAAAACAATTCTAGACCAAAAATGTGTGCAAATGAATTTTCCAAATAAACCTCACCTGACATGACACATGAATTATTCAGGATGGATCAATTCCAACTCCCAACAAGAACAATTAACGCAAATAAATACAATACCAATCAGTGAGCAGTGAGTCAAAACATGATCCTAGGCGTCACTAACAACATCATTTTTGTCAATGACTCAATTCAATTCAAGAGTCTACACAAAAATCCATGGGGAGTTTATTTAACTCATATTCAAAAGTCTAACTATGTTCGTATCAAACAAGTCACGAGATAGCTAGAGAGGGATATTCAACACCAAAGCTTTTCTTTTTATTTATTACTAATTGCTAATTAATTCCTAAAAACACCCGGTTAAAAAAATAAAAGATGTTCTTGAGGAAAGAACTGTGGCTTAAGGAAACCCAAGAACCTTATTAATATCTAATCCCCTCACTGTACCCAAGGTTGTGAATTATTTCCTCCCAGGATAAAACGAATATACATATTAAAGAAGTAGCGGTACCTCACACTTCAAAAACTTTAGCGAATTCAAAAGTCAACAACGAAATCACACAAACTCTACTTTGTTTGTAAGAAAATGTATGCAGAAGAAGGAGAAAAGTCAATAATGAAAACTAAGAGGAAATCCCCCTATTTATAGCTAATAATGGGTATGAACTCACCTGTTTAGAACAGACTCATCTATTTAGAACAGGCATTTTGGGATAGGAAATGTCCATTCGCAAATTAATTAATTAATCACATAATTTGTCAAAACCAAAGCTGAGGTCGAGCCGAGCGACGATGACGGTGCTAGGGGCACCTCTACTTAATCCTTAGGAGTCATAGCATGTGTTTTCTAATATAAGCACAAAACTTTTCCTCTCTTCTACCAATGAGTGAGAAATGACTTTTCATTTTCCCCTTACTTAGTTCCCCACATTTCCCATTCACACCTTATTTAAACCCAACACAAGATAGCAGTCACGCAATGTGATTAAACTCCTCTCCAAAAACAAAATTTAGTCACCAGAGACGGTCACATTTTCATTTTTAAGATGACAGTCATTCAATACAATGCCAAAAGACTGCTTATCTGAATTGTGGAAAATTTTCATTTTGAGGACCAACCCAAAACCACCCAACATTTGCTTACAATCAACTCCTCGTGTATCTTGGTTACTCAGACTTCACCAACGACTGAACTTATCACTCAAACAATTCGTCAAACACCTTACCTGCAGGCTGCATAACATAATACAGTTAAGTGTTTTGCAACCAATACTAACAAGGCGGTGGCCCCTCTCAATTACGTGGGAATTATAGGTCCAGTATCAACGACTCAAATATGAGAACTTAAACCACAATCTTCTCTATTAATCGCAAAACAAATTCGATTCACAGGGCACTGAGACAGAAGGGAAAGTGCAAGAGAGAAAACAGGAAGGAGAGAGAAGAAGAGAGATAAAACAGTACCTGGTAATCGCCGGCAACCGGCAGTGGACTGAAGTGACCGGAGGTGTTGCTTGCTGTGGTGTGTTGTCAAGAAAGCAAGTTAATAAAGAAACGAAAAGTGCGGCAACATTGTAACCTGTCTTTTAACTTTGAGATCAAGTAGAAAATATGAATATAGATGGACGTAGCATACCACATACAACACTAATTATGCTAACAAATATAGAACGCATGTGTCTATTTGTATAACATTATATAAATTAAGTTGAAATTTGTGTAATTACATCCTAGTTATTACACTTATCTGTTTGGTTGTCACAATTACACATGTCATGTTATGCCTTTGTAATTTAGAGCTGATTTTCTTATAAAAATGCTTAATATATATATCTATCTTTGTAAAACTGGCTGAAAAAATAAATTTTTAAGTTTTTTTTTTAAAAAAAAAAATTAAAAAATTCATCTAGCGATATATATGATATTTTTTACATATAATTTTTTTAACTTTTTTAATTATTAATATTTGAGTTTCCTATTCTTATATAAAATATTTTATATATACATGTAATCAGCCAATACTTAATATACCTAATTCTTTTACTTCACTTAAATTTTATTGTTGATTTGATATGGAATTTAAATACATAAAGAATTATTTTGAATTTTATGATATTAAATTAAATATATTAAAATATTTTTAAATTTGTAATCTTGAATATGTTACAAGAAAAAATTAAAATTTAAAAGTTGATTTTTTTTAAATATACTAAAAATAAAATATAAAGTAAATAAATTAAAACTAAGGTAGAACTTAAATTCGAAATAGCATTTGGATATATATAATATTTCTCGATCTAAATTTATATGACATTTTTTGTTTTTCAATAATCGAATAATTTCAGTTTGATTGAAAATTTACGTATTAAAACTTTAAATTTTTTGAAATGGCATTTATATATTTGTAAACTATTGTAAAAAGTATTATACGTTACAATAATTGACAATTCAAAATATTTCAATCGCATATGAAAAATTTACCGTTAAAAATAAACTTGAATCTTAAAATCCAAAAGATATCACGTAATTTGAGACAGAGCCAATAAAACATGCGTTTTTTTTCTTCTAGAACATGTGTCAACTCTTGAGCTAAGTTTGGTGCCACTTCTCTCACCTTCTTCCTCGTGCACTTCACATCTGGACTTTGTTGCACAAACTGTCACGCAAAAAAAAACCAACTTAAGAAACCCCAAGTGACAAGTAATGTGACATTGGTGAAATTTCCATCAAACAAGTGATGATTTCCATGGAAGAAAATGATGAATTTGATGAGCAACAAGAAAAAGAAGAATATGTTGATGACAATGAAGATGAACTACTAAAGAACAACAATTTATCAGTTCAAAACTCATCATCAAATTGGTTCATAAAAATGTTATCTTTACAAGTAGAAATCATCACAACTATCCTAATTTCACTAGTTTCCCCTATTTTCTATATCCTCTCTTTTGCTAATATTTTTGAAGAAGAAGAAACTGAAAAGAAGGTCTCTGTAGCTGTACATGTTGTAGCTACAGTTCCTTCAAAGTTACTTAATGGAGTTACTCTGCTGCTAAAGAAATTTGGGGTTGGAATTCTTGGAGCTGCTTATGTTGCTATAGTTTTGATAACTTTGTTGTTTGTTTCGGGGATTTTGGGATTTGGGTTGGTTAGGATGTGGATGGAAGAACCTGTGGTTTTGAGAGAACAGATGTATTTTGACTATGCAGATGTGAATCCAAAGGCTGTTTTCTCTTTTGGTGGAGATTATAGTCATAAGAATGATATTGGTGTGCCTGTTGGGCATACAATGTATGTTTCTTTGTTTCTACTTATGCCTGAATCTGATTTCAATAGAGACATTGGTGTTTTTCAGGTACATTTCTCTCTCTATATATATATAGATTGCTTCAAATATGTGTTTTCATTGCATTAGATGTTTACCTAGACCCTTAAATTTGGCCTCGGCCGGCGGGTAAGCACTCCAACTTTGAGAGTATTCTAACTTTTTGAGAGTACATGTGTAGACATCTCAACTTGGTCTCAACTGACAACTAATACTTCAACTTGTCCCCCACTTGTTTCTCGTGGATGATGAGGGATGTGACACATAAATTTAATTTTGGAGGTCTTTAGGTAGTTATTTTGTAAGTTGTAGTGTTCATTCACACCGTGGAGACGAGTTAACTTGATCTCAACTGACAACTAAATACTCCAATTTGTTCCCACTAGTCTCTCATGAACGACTCTAACGTGACACATACATTTCGGAGGTGTTTAAGTAATTAATTATATTTTAACTTGGAGTGCACTCCTACATATATAGTGGAGATGTGTCTACATGTTCATATCGAAAGTGAGAGTACTTACTTGTCAGTTTGCTTTATGTATTATGCCGCCTTAGTTCGTTGTCTATCTATAGGCTTATAATAGGTAAAATAGAATGAAGAAAAAAAAAAGGTAACATTACTTTAGGTATTCATAACCTCTTTTTATCAGTTGGTTGCAGAAGCATTATCAAAAGAGGGGTTGGTAATGGCAACATCAAGTCATCCGTGTATGTTGCGATTCAGAAGTCTGCCAATCCGTCTGATGCGCGAATTTATAATGAGTGTGCCCCTAGTACTTGGGCTTACTGCTGAAACGCAAACGATTGTTGTTCCGATGTTAAAGCATAAGGAAGGTCTTCCAAGGACAGAAGCAATCAGAATAACTATGATACCTCGAGCCGGAACTTTCGGCTTGCCCCAACTTTATCAATCACAGATCATATTGAAATCTCAGCCTCCTTGGTATAAAAACTTGGTTTACAAGTGGAAATGGACATTTTTTGTCTGGACTTCAATGTACATGTATGCCACTCTGCTAGTTATTCTCCTCAACTGGTGCAGACCGCTCGTGTTTCCAGTGATTGCGACAAGTTTCATGACTAGTGCTGATGTGAATTTAACAGTAGAAGCACCGGAAGAACCACAAGAGAAAGGTCGAGAAGAAAGTGATGTGTCCGAATCAGTCAGAAGATGGCGGCAAAGCAGAAGAAAGAGGAAGGCGATGCTTCAACAAAGTGTGTCACCAGAGCTCGCGGATGATGCTGCATCAAGCATTTCCATAACTAGGGAAGACACAGCGGATTCAAGCGAGTGAAGTGTTTTTAGAAGTGAAAAACCAATGATAGATTGGTTTGTATAGGTTTTTGACCAAAACAGTGCTGTTTCAGTAGTTAAAAGCTTTTGTTTTCCTAGCTTTTTAGCATAAATATCTGAATCTTGTTCTGTTCAAGCAACCAAACCACAGGAGTTGAGGTTTTCTGTAGACAGACAAATTTACAATGTCAATCAGGAGAATATAATCGAAATAGTTGCACACTGAAGGTTGCAATTAACATGAGGTAAATCTTTTCCATCCCAATTTATATGACTAAACTTCTTTATTTTGACCATGAATGCGGACATACAAATTGCATATTCGATGGTGCTCATCTCGGGTTAGGTTAGTTGAAGCAATCTAATTACATAGATAACTGCTCTTCTCCTCCTTTTAAGGCGAAGCGAAATGTATGGCGGCACTTTCTCTCTGGGGTAAGTGAGTGCGATTTGAGTATTACGTTGACCTTCTTTTGTAAATAGAATCTTGAAACAAACAATCCTACAATAACAAATTTCAGGTAAATTTACACACATTTGCGATCAGTGAAGAGAATACTAATCAGATGAAGAAACAAAAGCAAAATACCAATCAATTGTTCAAACAAACATCATCAAAAGTCAAAACTATGCAAAACATAAAAAAGGAACTTCTCGCTGCAAACTGCTCCGTGCATAATAGAAATTTATCACTCTAATATTTATCTTGTACACAGTGCGTTTGGAGTGTTTCGACTTACGAGTTTAATCGAACATGTTCATATTTGAATACTACAATTTGTATGTTAACTTTTGCAGTCAAGCAAGTTGAGTTCAAAGTTCTCTTTGAAATTGGGTAGATGTCATGGAGCTTTTCTCTCAATCTACTTGGAGTTATGGGGTGATCCACCTACCAAATTAGGTCTACGGGTATATGTTTTGGTTCCATGTTATGGATCTAGTTACAAGACGCTGCAAGATAAAATCTAAACTTTTCTTTTTTCTATCTATGGTGTTGGTTCGTTAAGAGAGAACCTGCAATCTCTTGAGTTTGAAGTACTCAAAAACTTGACTAATTCTCTTCTTATCTTTCCATTGAATTCAAATAACTTAAATACAACATTGGTGATTAACCACCCATCTAATAACAAGGAAATAACTTTCTACTACTACTGAAATGAGAAAGTGGAGGAATAACCTCCTTACTACTAATAACTACTACACAGAAAACAACTGCTACAGAGAAAACACGATTACAGAGGACCTATTACAGAGAAAACAGAAAAACATAATTAATAGCTACTGATTTAATTTCCATGCATAAAACTGTTGGTAGACTAAAAGGGTACTAACATTACTCCCCTCCTTCAAATTGCGATTGTCCTCAAGCGCTAAGTGTGGAAAGTAATTCTTCTTCATCGTTAATGAAATTGTTGGAATGTATGCGTCCACTGGTCTAGATGGGACCAGGTTCTCAGCACAGTTACAATAACAGAAAATAAACAATGTGCTGAAAGTAAAGATTACACAACAACTTTACGTGGAAACCTCCTTCCTCAAGGGAGTAAAATCACGACCTGGCCTGCCAGGACTTTTCAAAAACTGCTTTCACTAATCTTCTCAAGCAAAGTAAAAGCAAGTTTACAAACTGAGATTAGCTTACTAATCCCAACTCTAAGCAATACTTCCTATTACTTAGATGAGCCAGAGCAGATACAACACTGCCCACTAAGCTATCACCCCTAGATAACTTAGACTTTGCTAAGCGGATACAACACCGTCCACTAAATCAACTAGCTCCTAGATGACTTAGAATTTGACTAAGCAGCAATTAATGCTGCCCACTAAATCAGTTAGCCTCAACTGACTTAGACTTTTACAACGAACACAAGAATCTGAATCCTTTATAGATTAGGAACAGATTTACAATATAAGCACGGAAGTAAAACTCCTAAGACACACTCTGACGCTTGCAGCTCGATCAGGTCCTTGTTGTGCTTGCTGGAGAATACTTCACCAAAATAGT